AACTTTGCCAACAATGAAACTGCAATTGTTTTTCGTCGTGCCTGCAGGCAAAATCGTGGATGCGACAAACTCTTGTGTAGATAATCGACTTTGTGAGATAATGGAAACACATTTTTTCCAGTTGCCTAATAAAGTAACGTTTGCCTATGAGGTACAGTTCGAATCCGTTATCCGCAGAAGTAAAAATAACATCTTTTTTCTCCAAAAACCTGAAACGAAACACTTACACAGTTAAACATTATAAATAATTTGCATATTTTTCATTATTTTAATTTATTCGCGTAAAATACAAATCACGGATAATCGGAGACACGTAAATTACCTTTCGGAAAAATTGTCTTATGTTTTGTCAGAAAATAACTTAAAAAATAGAATTTCAGATCCGACCGCAGCGGTTAAAATACCTTATGAATAGAAATTATTTTCACGAAAATATATTTCGACGAAGTTATGTGAAATTTTAGATTTAAAGTGAAGACCGCGACATTCTTTGATTATATGAAAACATTATGAAGAAATATTAATGGCGGAGGGAAATGAAGAAGGAAAACAATTAAGTGTAATGTTTAAAATAGATCCAAAATTTCGGAAAGACCTTCAGTAAATTTGTATAAATCTTTCGAAATATCCTCGTAGTTGGTCATGCGTGAGTATGCGAGTTGGACTTCACACCGACCAAACCTTTATTAATCACGATTGCTAATTGGCAGCAAAATCGCATTCACGACATCGTTGGTCATCCAATATACTAAGTAATGATTTATTAACTGTTTCGTTATTTAAATAATAAATAAATTTTACGAATAATTGCATTATTTCGATTCAACAGATTTTTTTCTTCCACTGCAAACTATTTTAAATAATTACACCGATTTAAAAAAAAAAAATAGTCTTTTCGTTTATATGGATTTTTCGTATTGTTGCGTGGTAGATTTATACACTAAACACTAAGAAACGTCTATATAATAGATTGGTACAAACCTTGCAAATTCATTCAGCATTTCCAATGTCAGAGGTAATGTCAGAATAAACTTCATTTCATTCGGACACACAATTATGAAGTTTTTCAGCAATCCTCCATTTTGTATCAAAGATGTTCGTGATACGACGACACATTCTCCATTCTCATTGAATATAGTCACTTCGTGAAAGTTAAATCGTTGTTTTTTCACGTTTGACATCATCTTTCGCCTCTTGCAGTAATACGTGTATTAGTAGAAACTCGTACGAATAATAAAGAATATTCTTTGAATCTCTCAAATTTTAGTCAACGATTTTCTTTTTCGATACTTGACACTCAAAACGAACACCATTTTCAACTTACGTTGACCGGAATAGAAACGGTTACGTCAATCATGTGTTAGTTTTTATGCAAATGAGTGCGCTAAATAGATGATACTGAACACTTTTCGAAAATATTAATATATATAAATATTTATTGTGCTCAATTTTGCTAATTAATTAATTGCTTATTTGATCATGTGAATTTTATAACATATTTTAATAAATCAGAAAATTTGAATTAAAGAAAACAAATTTGTATTCAAAACAAACTTTCATTTGAATTTATAATTTTTGCAAAAAAATTCAATTACTTGTATTTGCAGTGAGAGAAAATCAAGTAATTAAAACCCAGAATATAAAGTAAAATTTTTTCAAGTATTCACTGAAATTCATTGAGTAGCATATAAACAATTAGAGAAATCAATAAAAATATACGTGTGTATATCATAGTAAATATAAAAATGTCGGGCCCTGTCTCTCACCACCGGTTACCCCATTGCGGGCCTGGCCGAACCTATAGCGAGCCTGCTATAAGAGGTCATCTTAGTGCCCACAGGGCGGAAAGAGTAAAATATATATAGCAATAGATGAAGGGCTGGAAACGCTATTTCTTAAAATTTATCTTTAATTTTAACTCATTTCTTGTTTGCGTATGTTAAACAGGAAACAGAACTACGTGGGCCATCTTTTTACTCAGGGTCAAAGGTCTTAAATACAAAAGTATGGTCCTTATTGGAAAATGATTCATATACAACAAAAACTCTTGCAACACCTTCTATAATTGAAGGTTTCTGAATTATGTAATGACGATAAGAAATGTGTTAAAGTGGAACGGACATAAGTTTACTGAAAAGGTTAGTGATGTCGAGAATAATGACTTTTATCACGTGTCTGATTAACCGTATTTAACGGAAACCAAGATTATTATTGATTAATAGTTTATTAATAGGTTTTTTCCCTGTTTAATCAATAAAATTCCGTGGATTTCTGTTTAATAAACTGTGATTGGTAGACTCTTCTTAGTCGGAAAAAAGACGAATCACGCGTTACGACATACGACTGCTCAGCTCTGCCAGGTGGTGCTTACAATGGTCAGTTCAAAAATTAAAAGTACAAAATCTTTGCTTAAATTAAGTCGTAAGAAAAGATGCAGAGATGTCACCTGAATGAGCACCAAAGGAAGTTTACCGGGCATATTTTTGACCTGTTATTTACGGCAGGTTCTATTTAATTCGTCTCTAAAAAATTCTGTCTGTTTTAGAAATGGCTAATGGATTAGTCACTTATAAAATAAAGAAAATGCGTAACTGTATAATTATGTATCTTTACGAACAATTGTAAGTAGAAAGAGTGGTCACGTGTTCTATACAACTTTCAATCCATGATAATTGTATCAACTAGAGATTGATTTAAATAGTTGAAGTTTTCTACTCATCTAGAGTTTACTTTCAGGCCTATTTTTTTGAATTTGGTTAATGAGGTGTATGCCAACAAGTAACTTTATTCGTTTTTAATTATAATACTGTATATTTATTTAGCAGCCGTTACTATTTTTTTTTATCTTTCATGGGTACACTATCTTCAAGTTTAGAAAAACTGTCATAGAGTTTAAAAAAAATAAGTTGTTACGGGAGATAATAAAAGTCGTGTGTAGCTCCAGTATGGTCAGATTTAATGACGATTTTACTCGTTATTAGCGTTTACAATTTTTTGTTTTTATAAAACTTACCCCTTTCATGAAAACTAAGCCTAGGCCTAGACAAATGCAAAACACTTAACATAGAAAAAGGAGTCCTGAAGAAAAGAAGATTTGCACTTGGAAATGGAGATGCTATTGAATCCATGGAAGAGGGCGAGTTCTACAAGTATTTAGGATTCCAACAGGCCAAACTAACAGGAAATACACAAATAAAGCGATAATTATTTAAAGAATACCAATATAGGTTAAATGCTATCCTCAGAACACAGTTAAAGCAATAAACACATAAGTCATCCCAGTACTCATATACTCTTTTGAAGTTATACATTGGACTCACACAGATCTCGAGCAACTCCAAAGGAAAACAAAAACAACACTTACTAAGCATAAACAACATCATCCTAAATCCGCCACAAAAAGATTAACCCTTCCACGTGTGGCCTGATTGACATAGTTAACCTTCACTACAAACAACAGTCAATGCGAGACTTTTTCTACAAGAAACAAGAAACATCACAGTTACGTAAAGCAGTAACTCTAGCAGACTCAAATAACACACCATTAAACTTACATGACACAACATATGGACATGACACAACATATAAAAAGCATAGACACCATCAAGCAATCGTGGACTCAAAAGGCACTCCATGGCAGACATCCTTATGACCTGGCCCAGGATTTTGATGACAAAACTGTGTCAAACAGCTGGCTAGATCGGGGATGCCTTTTTGGAGAGACGGAAAAATTCATGACTGCCATACAGGATCGAGTCATAAATACTAAAAACTACAAAAAACACATACTCAAAGATACAACACTCACAAATGACACGTGCAGAAAATGTCATATCATGCCAGAAACTATACAACACATCACTTCTGGTTGCAAGCTCTTGGCACAGACAGATTACTTACATAGACACAATCAAGTAGCAAATATAATACACCAAGAGCTTGCAAAGAAACACAAATTGGTAGACATCCACGAACTATATTACAAGTATATTCCAGAAACGGTATTGGAAAACAACACGCACAAAATGTACTACGACAGAGCCGTAATCACAGATAAAACAATTTACCACAACAGACTAGACATCACACTCATTGAAAAACGCAATAAAATCACATACATTATAGATGTAGCCATTCCGTACACTCACAATGTACAAAACACATGCACTAAAAAAATTAGCAAGTACACAGAACTCGCCCAGGAAATAAGGCATCTGTGGAGAATCGATAGGGTTCTTATTGTATCTGTCGTTCTCTCCTGTACAGGTATGATACCACACACACTACACAAAAACCTGAGAACATTACAAGTGAATAGAAAGACATACATCACACTACCTAAGACCACTATATTGAATACTTGTCATATTGTTAAAAAATTCCTGAATACAGACACGTGTACTGACACAGTTTTTTTAATTTTAGTTTTGTTTTGGTTACTATGCCTTAACTGTGGTCCGGCATAGTACGCAGCCACCGGTGTGAACCGAGTATAACTCACTAAACCCAACATAATAATAATTAGCGCAGAGCCCAGACGGTTAGGAGTTGAAAGTTGAAATTTGATACATAGTTAGGGTACGTCTTGAGAACGCACACTAAGAAGGGAGTTTTTAAAATTCACCCTGGGGGAGAGTAACAGAATTAAGGCTTCGACAATAAAAGTGTTAAGAATAAAGTGTTAAGTGAAAGCGATGGACAAGATTTACAGACGCAGATGCAGTTTTTTCGTTTTGCGTCAAATCGAACATTTTTTAACCCATCTAAAAATTCTCTGATTAGTCTGGAAATAGGGGGACCCAATTCTTGCATTCTGTGAAAAAGGGTAAGATTGACTATAACTTAATAATCTTAATCTTCGCTATCGTTACTTTTGCCCGAGCAACGCCGGGCCTATTTGCTAGTTTTCGAATAAATATCAAAGCTTTCTACAGTAACAATAATTGTTAACAATGTAAAAGTATTGTTTCATGTAACAAAGCATTCGCAATTATTGAAGAAACGAAGTAAAAAGTAAAACAATTTAAAAATTTTATTACAGTAGAACCTCGAAAACTCGGCCTAATGTGGACCGAAGGGTGGCCGAGTTTGTGAAAATTCCGGGTTATCGGGAATGGGGTTAAAAAAGGATAAGTATGCGTGTTTCCTCAGAAAATACTGTATTGTACTTGTATGTATTGTTTGCTTGAGAATACAACAGAGAATAAACTGCCCAAATACCCTTAAACAAAGGAAAAGTACGTACTTTATGAAGGCATAGAGCCTTTACTACATGAAAATGAAAATTAATGAATACACTGTGTACAGTAATTTACCTGATAAGACAGACCTCAGAAAAATACTTTATGAGAGCTTTTATACTTTTATAAAGCTGTCTATAATGAAAATTAATTAACTATGGATTTTTTTGCCCTGCCAGGGTGTGGCCGAGTTATCCGGAGTGCCGGGTTATCGAGAGCCGAGTTTTCGAGGTTCTACTGTATTTTGTTATATATTGATTCAGTATTTCAATAGATGTTTTTATTTTAAACTTTTAATATAATGAATAAATCGAAGGCATAATTAATGTAAATTTACTTTCTCATTTGGCTCATACCGCCCTTTAAGTTGTAAGAGGGCCTTTTTAACCATGCCTATCGTGAGTTCCACTGGATGTTTAAAATGGGGCTTGAATTATCAGAAACAAACCAGCTCCCTGCAAATATTCTTGAAGTGTTCGCCCCATTTCGATTCAGGATTTTTCAAAGCCGCAGGCAGCTTACTGACAGGCTTTAACTACCTATCAGTCTGGTATACGTCTTGTAATATTTTATAAAATAATTATTTTTAAAGTTGCGCAGTGCTAATATATAAATTTGTTCAATTTTGTGATTTGTTCAATGATTACAAGTTTCGCATGAAAGTACCAAATAACATTACAGAGAAATTCACTTATTCCACTGGTTTATTATTTATCTGCCTACAAAACGAAAGAAATCACGTTCAGAATGAATATATAGGCACGACAGTGTTACGTTATACACTCCTTTTCCTTGTAAGCGACAAGGAACCACATGATGTCACTCGGCATGGAATAGCCACAAGCAATGCGAGCACGCGTTAGGTGGGCCTTTAACTGATAAGTTATCAGTGATAACTTATCAGTTTAAGGCTTGCTTTATCTTCAGTTTTTTATGTGAACTTGTAATTATGCTTTGTGTCAATGTCAGACATTCACGAGGACAAAAATTAATTTTTACTTAATTACGGGTCGTCGATGTCCATTTATTTAGAACATATGAAATAGATGAAAAAAAAAGACCTAAAAATTTTATTATCTGTTACTGAAAATAACATGTAATTGTTCATTCTTTGTAAAATTAGAATTTCGTAAGTTGTTTTCGGCTCGAAAAAAAATTTACGGCTTCCCCCTCTTAACGAACTTGTTTAATCACTTTTTACAATGGACGTTGATTGATTAATATTATGTTAGCGTAATGATTTTTTACTTTCAAGCTTTCGGCTTGTATAACAAAATAATGGAAAATTTCAAGAAATCGCAGTTTGGGACTTGCATTATCAGTTATAACAGTACAGTATACAATCACCTATACACATAGAGATTCAGAATACGATAGGTTACAGAAAAGTCAATTATTGTTCGTGGAGAATTACAAAACAATTCCATACAAATCCTGGATTATTTATATTTTCTATAATGAAAACAGTACAGACATCTTTGTTTGTTTGTTTGTTTTTCTTAATTGTTTTTTTTAATTCTAGTCGGGGAGTTATAGAAGAAGTATCGAAAATACATTTATTTAACAAAAGGACCGTCGATACTTCGTCAAAAACTATACACATATACAAAAATCTTTACATTAACAAAAGGTCACTTTGATATTAGTATTAATATCTATTGATAATCAAATAATATCTATGATCTATCATACAAATTGTCTCCTTTAAAATATGCAGGGATATCTTTATTCTATTAACAGGATTGTATTTCGGGCTACACCCCTCAGTCTACTGAAGGGCATAGTTCGAAATATTTCCCTGTTCATAGAATAGAAATGTCCTTTTTTTAAAGAAATGCAGCGTTTCCTGGTAGGATAGTTCCTAGAAAATACAATTTCATTATCGCAGAACCATCAAAACCCAAGATAAGCAAATATAAAAACTGTAATATCTATTTTTAAAATATCAGTCATGCATTTATTTATACACCATTGTCGGAAATACTACATCTAACGTACAAAACAGAGATGTTTGAACGTAATAAATAGATATCTTTATTATTTTATGATTTCTTCGAGTGAGATACGAATCCAAAAGGAAGAAAACAGGGAAATTATTATATCAGAATCTCAGTTAAATAAAGTCCTGAACAGGCAATTTTAACTTCTCATTACATATTGTGAAAATTCGAAAGTACTGTTTATGCCTTATCCAATCGAAAGCATCAGACAATTCGTTACGTAAGTTTTTCACGATGCTTACCTTTCATTTAATTTTAATACATGGTCATAAATTTTAATTTATAACTTTAAAATATAATTTTTAAACAGTTATGTAAAGACGGACGATAAGTTGCGGTAAATGACATTCGAAGGATTCGTCCGATGTCGGACTTTATCGTTTTTATCGTCCAACAACCGGACGAATCATTTCGAATGTACAGTACATGGAAAATTCAAAAAGACAGTAATGAATGGTTTGGGGTATGAGCCTCATCGTAACCTTCACTCGTCATTATATGTAATTTTGTTTCTTTATCTTTCGGTGTTGTTAGAGACGTTGTTGGAATTTTTAATGTAAGTATTAGTGTGTATTTTTGATTGCTAATGTAGTGTATACGGGTAATACTAATACATTTGTTTACAGGAAATCGTACTTCAAAGATTGCACAAATTTAAACTGTGACCATCTACATAGCATAACTAGAGGATAATTACAGAACGATTCCGTAGCCGTAGTTCTGTTTTTTACCACGAGATGTCGCTACTTCGTGGGTCAAATAGCTCGACAAGCGTAATTCTAATTTACTATATGTTGTGACGCCACTGAACCACGTGTCAGAACGCAATCCCTGTAAGTAGACTACAGTCAGAATTAACGTACTCTAAAATTCTAAATAACTTTAGAACTTATTCAATCAGCAGACTGTGAGCAATTTTAAGATGAAATTTAATAAATGAATTATTTATAGATGAGATTTTTATGAGAAACGAATCCAGAGTTATGAAAGATGACTTCTCAGCTCTGCCAGGTGAGATAAGTGTGCTCCAAGGGAGATTACCGGGCATATTTTATCTCTTATTTTTGGCTGATTCTATTCTACTAAGTTAACAAAAGTGTCAGTACAAATCATGTGTCCTATAGAACTTTCAATCAATAATAATTGTATCGAATAAAAATTGATTCAAATATTTTAAATTTTCTGCTCATTTAGAGTTTACTATTAGACTTAATTTGCTGAATTTGGTTAATAAAATGTATGCGAACAACTGACTTTATTCGTTTTTAAATATAATACATGTACTGCATATTCATTTAGCAGCCGTTACAGGGTATTTTTTGTATTTTTTTATGGATACACTAAAATTCGTAACGAAAGATAATAGCAGTCGGGTGTATCTCCGGTAAGGTCGAAGTTAATTAATTTTAAACGATTTTATTCGTTATTAGCGTTAACAGTTTTTTTTATATAAAACTCATCCGTACCCTCAAAACTAAGCTTGTTATCGTTTCATCATATTTGAAAATATAAAAAGTTTTTAAAAATAAAATATGACAACAGATAGCGCCACAAAAATTTTAAATGTTTCCGAGAAAGTTGAACAACTCGTTTGTGGTTTATTCCAATAAAGTTTTCAAAACTTATACTTTAATAAATAAATTCGAAATCTCTTTTATTTATTTATTAAATTTCTTTTATTATTTATTATATATTTTTGGATAAATGTCAAAACTTTCTACAGTAACAAAAATTGTTAACAATGTAAAAATATTGTTTCGTGTAACAAAACATTTGCCATTATTCAAGACAAGACTATTGTTAATTTCGAAGAATTCCAACAAAGTAAAAAGTAAAACGTTTTAAAAATTTTATTAATTTGTTACGTATTGATTCATTATTTCAATAGATTTTTTTTTAAATTCTTAATATAATGAATAAATCGAAGACATAATTAACGTAAATTTACTTTCTCATTTGGCTCCTACCAAACTTTCGGTTGTAAGAGGGTCTTTTTAACAATGCCTATCGTGGGTTCGGCAGGATGGTGAGGACGGGGCCCGAATTATCCCAGACAGACCAACTACCTGAGGATATTCTTGGAGTTTCGCACGATTTCGATTCAGGGATTTTCAAAGCCGTAGACAGCTCAATAACAGGCTTTAACTACTCATCAGTCAGATATAGACCTACTTCTTGTAATATTTTATAAAATAATTACTTTAAAGTTGCACTGTGCTAATGTGACCGTAGGGTGGGTGTTTCTTTGACACCACGTCAGGAGACCTAAATCTGACACCACCGAGTCTCTGGGGGACTCGGAAATCGCGACGTTACGTCACGCGAGCGGTAGCGTGTGAGCGCTTAGATTCGGAGTAGAGGTGAGGAGAGAGACGAGGAAGTAATTTACTCGGATTCCATGATTCTCTAACAAATAACAATTTTAATAAAAACTAAAGAAAATACAGATATATTCTATCCCTAATTATACTATTCCGTTCGAGAGAGAGAGTTTACACGCGAATCGCGGGTTGATAAATACCTTGCTTCTGGGTCGAAGGATCTGGGGTCACGCCAATGATAATACGCCGATGGAAAGTTCAATCTACTGGTTCTGGATCTTGTCCGTTCACTGGGGTGGAGGCACGGAGGTGTGGAGATGTTATCCTTAAACAGGAACGATCTTTTCCTCTCGGTGTTAATCCTGGGTCACGGTTTTAATCCTGGGCCACGATTTTAATCCTGGGCCACGATTTTAATTCGGGAGTACGACTTTTGTTGAGCGGACTTTGTGAAGACGACTTTTGTAGAGGGACTTCGGATGACGACTGACCTCGGGGTCTTTTTTCCTTTTTCCCTTCTTATTCCTCTTGGGTTTTTTCCATGAGGTCAGGTGGTTGCCGTTAAGGGTCTCGCGTCCAATATGGATTCTCCATCAAAAGTTCCTGGTGACACATACCTGACTAACTTGATCCGACTCAACAAGGAACAAACTCCGTGGGAAATAATTTTTATGGCTTTTAGCCTAACTCGATAAAACGCTCGAATTTAACCGATTAAATTTTCCAATAATTAAAATTTAAAATAACACTTTATTGTGGGTCTGTTCGTCCCTCACACTAATATATAAATTTTTTAACTTTTGCATGAATGTAAGTTAAGTTAAAGTTGAAAAAACACGTTTAATAGTGCCTATAGATGCAAATAAGATTACTGTCGACAGTAATTATAACTCACCTTGTACGTCTCAACTTTCTGATAACGTACTTTTAATTGCATACAGTCTTATTCGCAAACACTTCTTTAATTGGCTGCCTTCGTAAAAGAAAATATATTTTAATTAATTATCTATTCTGAATTTTCTAATGGTAGTTGTTCTATATGTTGATTAAGTAACGTCTTTTCAATCCGAAAAAAAAACTCCCAGTAGACTACCTCACAGCCAATTCAGGTTATAAAAAACTCCTTTTATTGTTTTTTTACACATGCATTTCGAACTAGGTTAACTTTCTAGCTCCTCTCAGTGCTTAAGAGTCTCCATATTTTTTCTGATTGAAGAGACGTTACTTAATTAACTTTAATTAATTACTCAGATTTGTGGATATTGAATATGTTTTTATTCTATAGAGATTTGATTATTTCTAGTGTGGATCGAATTTCCATTTATAACTTTATCGTTGTAATAAATTAATTGCAGTTATTTAATTATTCAATTATGATTGAATATACCACTTGTTATTTTTATTGAATATCTTTAACTTTTAAATTGACGATTTTTAAAAATTGTATAAACTTTATATTTCACAAATACAAAAATTACCCCGAAAAAAAATATATGAAGTCAACACTGATGATTAAATGATTAAACCAAATTCAAATTTTCTGAGTCTCTAGAAGCTATAACGCGCTACTGAGAGACATTACATTTTGTATTACATGTCTGGTTTTTTAATAACACCTTCTCATAGATATTTTCGTTAAAGATTCTACCAAATGCGCAATTATAAGAATTAATATTCAAGTAAAATTATAATTAATTTCTTTCATACAAAACCATTTTAAAATAATGTTCGCTATTATTATACATTCACAAAGGAAAAAAAATCTGACGAATAATACAGAGAATTAGTTAATAATATTAAAAATGATAAAAGCATGCAATATGATATCATCTACCTCTATATTTTCATATGGGAAAAGGCAATAGATTTTACAAGTAAATTCTGAAGTCTTGAAGCCACTCGAAAGCTCGATTGGATAAGTGAAGATAATTGAAAAAACTAGGAAACGTATATTAAATAATTTGACTTCTAATTACACAAATATTTCACTTATAATTGAAATTACTAGGTAAACAATTAATTATAAACATATAGTTCAAAAATACGTTCAGTATAAAGAGAAAATTAGAATAGCCTATAAATCCACATGATTGAACTTTTACTTTCATAATATTCGGGTAAGAGCTTTATTTTCAGGTGACGGTGTTACTATCGGGACGTGGTGGGATGGCGAACTGCCTCGCCTTCTCTTCAAAATGCCACGTGAGAAAAATGGAACGACACGATACAAGGTCGGTGGCGATTGTAACATGTATAAGACGAACAGTTGGGTATAACTGTGACTTATCAGAAATCAGTACCGTGTTGGAAATATCAAGTTAAACTCTTATTGGCTACTGCAGTTGTGTGACTGATTCTTGATCGTCATCGTTACAAATGCAGTGGACTATAATCGTTTTTCCAAGAACCACGTTTGTTCACGTGGCTCCGGAGTGAATTATGATTGGTTTTTTCAGTAAATTAACTTCCCCATCGCGTTCTATACTTTTAATCTACAAAATGGCACGTTCAGTTTATAAACGCATATTAGTTTACTTTGATCGTTCTTTCCTGAAACCGTCGATTGAAATAGTTTACATATGATTGACCCACAGATAACCGACGACACTGCAACTGTAGCCTAAATATCTACTAATTTTATAATTAGTTGATTTTTTAAAACAAGTAAAATGTATTGACGTAAAAAAGTAGACATACATCCTTTCGTTATTTTTCTGTTATTTGAATGCAGTTGTTGATGTTAACCACTTCGATACATTCACGCAATGGTAATCATTTATTTAACATAATGCTGAGATTTAACAGCTTCCACTTGTTTTAATATAAAATCTCAACTTTTATCGGTTCTGTAGTTTCTAATAATTAATGTTATATAAAGCGTAATCGATTTTTGAAACAGTTCCTAATATATTTTCATAAACATTCTAATTTGAAATATATATTCTTCAGTAGTATACAGTGGGTGATCGGTTAACGAACATAATCTGTTCCAAGACTTTGTTAGCTATCTGAATTGTTCGTTAACAGATTATGGATTTACCATAGGTTTCTATGGGAATTTGATTAATTCGTTCTGGAGATCCCCCAAAAAATGAAAATATATATACTTTCTTACTACGTTTATTTACATGTAATAATAAAAATACATATATACACAGGACAGGACATAATATATCGAATACATAATCCTACAGATAACATAACTATACATGTCGTACAGATAATGATTAATGTTAAAAAATAAATTTATTAAATACGATAACATTCTATTATGAATTTCGCAATATTAGACCTATTTATAATTTTGCTGCCGTTCTATCTTAACAGGTAACACAAACAATTTGTAATTCATTAATTACTCGTAAGGCTCTTCGTAAGTAACGTCTAGTATTATGAAAACAAGTAGATAAAATTTCTGACTTTTCGAATCTATTTTCTTACATTTTGTTTGCAATTTTGGTTTTCGTAATTCTTCCTATTTTGCTTCTAAGTATATTTTCTAAATAAATCAGTACCCTACATCGACCTGGTTATTATGATTAGAAATTGTATATGAATTTAAATATAAATTAAATATATTTATATATTATACTTACGTAGTATGTATTTTATAATTATATATTTTAAATTAATATACAAATATGTTATTATGAATTATTTACGTTTTAAAAGTAATCTTATATTCGTTGCTATATTTAATTTTAAATGACAAATTTGTACCGAAAATTTCAATAAGAACAATTAATTACAACGACAAACATTGATTTTTTCTTTTGTTTTGTTTGGCAAATAATTTCAGGTTTTTGAATAAATCGAATAGCAACGAATATCCAGTTGTATTCTCTGATTGCTCTTTTATCAAGCAATCAGGGTTAGTTTCTGGAAACCAAAAAACTACCACAAAATGGGTGTCG